CTAATAAAAGGTATGTAACTACAGCTTTCAGTTCTGTTGATGAAGGGTACAGCCATCTTGAATTCGGTGGGCGGAGTTGCAGAAGATCACCTGACTTGCCGAATTGGAATTCTGACTTCAGGGGGAGGCCCATTTGAAATTCCTGACTAGGAACTCAGAATTTCCAACTTAGGAGTTCAAATGGAAGGTAGCATAAATGATACTGTGTTCCATTATCTCTGGTTGAAAGTCAGAGCTGGGAATGATGTCACACCCAAGTTAACCGCGTTCCAATACAACAAGTCAGAAAGCCATTTAGCAATACCAGGAAGCCGTTTCCTAAAGTGGTATGTTTTACTAAGCAGTAAACAACTTGTCTGTTTTAAGGTACTCTAATTTAAATGGCATTTATCTTAATTAATTTACATTTAGCCCAAACTACCTTAAATCTGAGAAGTTATCCGTCTAAGCAAGAAATCCAGCTTTTCTGAAACAGCATCCAGTTCTAGCCAGATTCATTCATCAAACACTGCAGTAACATGTCCTCAGTTAGCAGCTGGACAGTACTGTGTGTACGACCAATTTAATGAAACACAAATAAGACATAAGTGCTAATAAAGAATAAATAACTACAGATTTCACTTCTGTTGCTAATGGGTTCAGCCATCTTGGATTTTGAAGTCAAGATGGCAGAGGTTCCTTGACTTTCTGAGTCAGAATTCCAACTTCAGGGGGCGTTCCAGTTGAAATCTGACAAGGAACGTGGAATTTCTCACTAATGTTTGCTAGGTTAGGTGTACTGTATTAAAATGCATTTTCGTCTTGTGATATTTTTGCCTTGCGTTAGGTGTATTGGGACGTAACCACAGCGTAACCTGGGGAGAGGCTGCGTAGGGCAAGCTTCTAGCACATGGGCCAAGGTCGCCGTTGCCCTATACATGCCCTACCATTAAGGACACTGAGGTCAAGTCGTCAGTTTTGTTTCTGCAATTCCAATAACTACAATCCATTATGAAGCACACCCAGGGTGGGCTAACACTTTTGACCTCAGGATTTAAAAAATCCTGACTATGGCCCTGTCCCTATAGCAGAGTGAGCACATGGCAGTGGATTTATGATTGCAAATGAAGCAACAGTCAAAACATAAAACCAAAAGAAACCTCCCAAAATATCCTGAGTTAACCAAAACACAGTGGGGTGTACTACAACTAAATCCCAAATTACATAAGTGCAAGAGCGGTGATGAGCTCGACATCTGAAAAAGAAACAAAACACACCCATCGCAACACACGTAATCCCCAAAGTCAAATGAACTGAATAAGAGCCTTATTCATCCAGACACTGGACTTGCCAAACTCCAGTGCCCTTACACATAAAAAACACAAGTATAATGTCTTATTGGCCATTGCATAAGTACATAGGAATTCATCTCATCACCTACCCCCTCCTGCACTTCATAGCTCAGAGGTCACAGCACAGGGTCGACCATCATGCAGCACCCTTAGAGCTGAGGGTTAAGGGTCTTGTTCAAGAGTCCACAGACAAGTGACTATTCTGTTGAGGCCAGGCTCAAAGCAGCAACCTTCTGATCACAGGCACAGAGACTTAGCCCGCTGAGCCACTCATACTGCGCACATTTCCATTGCTTTAATGAAATTGTGTGCGCTGCATTGCCATCATCTGAATGAAAACACTTATCAACCTGTAAGCTACTCCGAAGTAATTTGTCCAAAACAGTTATATTATTATTATTGCATAATGTAGGTCAACAGCAAAAAATCATCTTAGGCAGTATTGCTGGTGGTGGGGGTGAGAGTAGGGGAGATTGCATTCATTTATTTTACCTTTCAGAAGCACGCAGACTTTTGTTTGCCTCTTAACGTGATAAGATGTATTACCAGTTTGCATGTTTGCTGGTGAGATGACTTGCTTGAGATGACTTCCTTGGAATTTGATGCTATCTTAAGTCTGATTCGATGGAAGCCAACAATTGTCCACAGCAAATACACACACACACACACGGAAGTGCATGTTAGGTGAGACCGTGGCCCTGCTAGACAGAGATGATGGCGTTTATAGACCCCACGTCTAAAATAAACTCTTTGGATTGCATGTCAGTTTACCAGTGAAACAGAGACTCATATGAAGCAATAAACACGTTGCATGTCATAACCTTTTTTTTTAAAAAAATATTCCTTCCACCACCCCCCCTCTGCGGAGGACTGCTTTATTTCTATTGATTTATTTATTTATTTATTTATTTATTATTTTGATTTACTTCCCCAAGAGAAGGAGGGGGGGGAGAAAGGAGAAGAAGGAGGATAGAGAGAGAGGGAGAGAGAAAAAAAAAACAGATAATCTGCTTCAATGTCTGCTGAAGAGAGAAAACAACAACCAACATCTTTACGAATCACAACGAACATCAAACGTTAATTGTTGTTGAACAGCACACACACCCAGCATTACAACACATGCCCAGAAGCAACAGCTGGTCAAGACAGCGCGCGTCCGTGAGCACCTGTCCGCGCACCCATGTGAACACTTGTGTGCACACCTGTGTGTGTCAGCGCGCTGCTGTTCATAAGGTTTCTCCATGTAAATTTCTAGTAGTGTGTGTGGGGAGCCACAGCCCCGCCCCCCCAGGACATGAAGCTGACACGGAAGAGACCCGGGCCCCAGACATCCAGAGGCCCCCCAGGGCACGGGAACCCCAGGAGGACCACTGTAGGGACAATTACAGCCCCCACCTAGAAAAGGGCAGAGGAGCACTCTGGAGGGGGGCCATCCGGCAGCCACATCGCAGGAGCCCCAGGGGGCTGTGGAGGCGAGCACGCAGGCTCCGCTGGCGGCCGGCCACACCAGGCCAGACCGGACCCCGGGCCCAGAGATCCAAGGGCCCCCCAGCTGGGGCCCGACAGTGCCGGAAGGGCCAGCCCCGGCAAGCAACCGCCGAGAGTGAGCCAGCGCACACCAGAGCATCCAGCCCCGGACATCGAGAACCACCAACGCATCGGCAGCAGGGGGCCTCATCCACCGGCAGGGAGTGGAATAGAGCCCGAGATGTTATTTCAGGTGGAGTCTAAGACCCAACCTGACACATACGTATAGACAAACAGGCGCACACATACACAAGCATACGTTCCCACCCTCATGCATACAGTACATAAACAAATATTCAGCCATTCGCCCAACATGGAGACACACAGAAATGAACGCCGTACACACACTCACACTCCCCATATATACTCTATACTCCGAGATCCAGGCACCACCGCCCCCAGAGGGGCAATCTGCCACCAGACCTCGGAGATGGATCCCTTTTTTCCTCTGGCGTGGGGACCAGAAGACCACCCCAGACTCCGCAGCAGCCGAGAAGCCCACCAGCCCAGACCCCGACCGGACGGCCAGCTCTTCTCAGCCCCCGGCTCCAGATGGCGAACAGAGAACGGGGGTGTGAAAAGACCCCATGCTTCCCTTTGCCCGCTCAGATGTGGTGTTGATGCGTGTTGTTCTAAAGTGCTTTTAAAACAGGGGAAGGGCATGGTGCTAACCACTCTCTGCCAATCAGCAGCTGGTGTCAGCTCGGCCCCTCCCCAGAACCCTCAGTGTCTATGTGCGACTTAAAATTGAGAAGTGGGCACTGGCACCAGAGGTAAGGCTGAGTGAACAGACCGCCCTCCGGATGCCATTTTGTGTGCCCACCCCCAAGGCCCTAAATGTATGTGTCATAATGTCATAACCTTTTAATTTCTTTCTTTAAAGGCAGTGTAAGGCACGTATCAGTGCTGTTCAGCTGGCCATGTAATTCTTTATGTAGCATCCCCTATTCAGACCTGCTGTTTAAAAAGAGATAGTTTTTAAAGTACTTTTTGTATTTCTTGAACAAAAAAATAACTGACTTCTTTCAACTGCTGAAAGATAGTAACCACACATGAAGTTTCTTTAGATGTAATATAATACGCTTGGCTAGGACAATTGTTAAAACATTAAACATACTGGCATACTTGTAAGTGTTAAAGGGCCACAGAAGTCTTTTTAATCTTTGGGGTTTTAACTTCCAGCTTAATGGAGTAGTTAAAACATGGGCTTCATTGAATAATTCTGGTAGAAGTAATATTTTTTTCCTTTATTCAAAATACGAATTGCATCACATGATAGCCTTGAAATGTAAGCATTGCTTTGTTATTGTTTGGTTATTCTAAAAGAAGGATTAGCAGTAACCTTCTAATAATCACCAAATGTCTGCTAAAAACTCACTTCATGGTCATATGTGAATCAACTTCAGTATAACTGCTCTAAAAGTGAAACTGATTAAATCTGATTACAATCCAGATCTGCAGATTTTCTGTATTTCTCTATGAGGTTTCACTAAAAGCTGAACAGAAATGTATGAATCCGGTGACACAGGCTATAATTTAAAGTAGGACATGGCGGGAGTCCTTAGGGATTCTTTCCAATCTGTTTTCAGCGTGTGAAAAGGCTTTTAGTGGCAGTCATTAGAAATTACAGCCTCATCTCCTGCAGGACCCCAGCTGTACAGAGTCTTAGTGTAATGAACCAATCATGAGCTCATCTGCCATCAACCTCCTGCTGCTTCTTTACTGTCCACACTATGAATACTGGGCCACACAATAAGGCTGTAGAACACAATGCATTTGCACTACTATCCATATGTTGTCGATCTGACTGGTATATGTTTCATTGTGCATCTGACAAAAGAGTGTAATATAAATTTTTCAATGTCCACATAATAATAATAATAATAATAATAATAATAATAATAATAATAGTAAATCTTTTAAATGTTGTGCCCTCTGCTGCCTAGGGTAGGGTTGTTGTTCCCCATGACCTAGACCAGCATAAGTAATTGCAAGATGTATGGATACTCCAATGTTATGAACTTGAAAACATTTCAATATATGCACTTATTTGCAAATTTCAAATAAGAACAAATGATTACCTTAAATTCCAATGAAATTTTTTAATAATTTGCAACATAAGACAAATACATTATAAAATATATTTACCAAAGTATGACGCAGTCATTACTACAAAAGTAAATGAATAATCGGCTTGTTGAATACTGAATGATTTATATAATAATGTCTTTCACATTACAGGGATTTTCTGCTTTTTTGCTATATAATAAAAATTAAATGTGCACACATTTTGTAAAAATGAGTTCATCTGAAGCTCATGATAAAAACATAAAATGTCACAAAGCAAATACAAACTATCATTAGGAGACATTGAAACATTATGCGACAATGATGCATCACAAGAAAACATTAAAAAGTGTAAAATATTACCTAAAACAGCAATCGGCTGACTGACACAAAAACTACATTGCGCTGGCAAAGCGGCAGACTGTTATGTCAGATTTTATGGTATACCAGACGTGATAGAGTATCAGTCATTCATTCCAAGAAAGGGTTAATTTAACAGCAAGTCCTCATGTAAAGATCAATTAAACGACCGAACTTAGGAGGTAGATATACTTTGCTGGTGTATGTACATGTCCTTCAAAGACATACAGATCACATTTTAAACCTGTTCTTCCAGGCAGATACTTGCTGCTGACAGTAAACGAGGGTCACTAATTAGTGCAGTTCTTCAGAATCAGATTATGTTGCGGTAAACACATAGCATTCCCCCCCGAACCCCTTTCTGTTATCTAGGCTCTTGTCTTTTCCAAAGAATCAGTCTGGAATTTGGGATGTTTTGGAATGTGGTTGTGGTTTAAACTGAAAATTAACATATTGTTGAACTATGCGCCTAATCGGACAGGGTAACCAGAATTGTTTCATTCCTGAGGAAAATATTTGATTGAGTCTTGATGTATGAAGTGAAACAAAGAACAAATGTATTAGCGTTAGTTTCAGGATGCAATTACAAAAAAATGCAACGGTAAAATGAAATAGTGCTTAAGAAAATTTCCATACAAGTAAGGCCATTGCCTCATGTTAATATATAACAATTTAATAAATAATAACACATTTAATATTTTTTTGCATAAATAATGGTAGTAGTAGAACTCATAAATTCACTTCATCGCCCCTAAATAGCCCCTCACAAATGAGAAATCCTGTAAATACTTAAAATGCTCTTATTTGTAAGTACTAAGGAAACTTGTCTGAGTTGTGAATGTGAAAGCATTCCATGTCGCAAACTAAAATAGGTCATTCTTCCAGTTTGACCAAATGCAACAAAAACAGCAATCGAGAATGGAATCAGGAACGATTAAAGGACATAGCTTCAATCTCGATTTCTAGATAGTTCAGCTCTGAGGATCCTCAAACAGCTGTGCCAGTACTTCAGGAAGTGACCTTTAAACTGAAGGCTACAGTTCCATCCAGAAGTGCACGTGGTGCTCGAGAAGACTGCTCAGACATGGGGCTTCATGGGGAAGTGTTGTGTGACAGTGACGCAGCCATGGTAGCTCACGCACCGTGACATGGGCAACTCTTCGGTCAACTGTCTGCTCTCGGGATTGAAGGTCCAGATCTTGTCGATGCCATAGCCGCTCTCGTCTCTCCCTCCAAGGATGTATATCTTTCCGTCGGCCACCGTCAAACCACAGCTTTCCTAAAAACCCAAAAACCCAGAAGAGTCATTTTCAAACACGGCTGTTATAGCTACAGCTACCCGTGCTGCTTTTGAACACAATCTATCAGTAATGCGCGTTAGGGTATGGTTAGAGTACTAGTACGGTAGCTTACCAGTTTCATGGGCAAGCTGGCCACCTTACTCCAAGTATCCAGACTTGGGGTGTACTTGTATATGTCATCCAGGAGGCCACCAACCACATAGATGATGTCATTGAAGGTTGTGGCACTTATACACCTTTGAGTAAAGGGGCTGGGTGCCATATAACTCCACTGGTCATTAACAGGGTCATAACACTGCACCTGTACCAGTTACAGAGCGTTAGCTTCCCTCGTCTTGCAGAAATCTCACAACATTGACGCATCATCAGTATGCGTTGTTTACAAATAAAGACTTTGTCATGTATGCAGAATTTCTCTCAGGACCAAATTCAGTTGAATGTGTGTTTTTTTGAGTGTGCCGAGAGCACTGCCTGAAGCTTGCCTTATCCGTGTTGCAGTTTTCACTGAGGGCACCTCCGATGACATAGAGCTTCCCGGAACAGGCTACCAGAGCAGAAGAGCTCACGGGCAGCAGCAGAGGAGCCATCTCCTGCCACTGGTTATCGTAGGCGCTGTAACACTCCACGCTGGACAACCTCTGGTGCCCGTTGAAACCACCTACTGCATACAGCTGCAACCACAAGCAAGCACACTTCCATTACTGTCTGTCTGTCCGTCCGTCCATCCATACATGCACACAGTACCGTGCAAAAGTCAAAGAAAATGTTTAAAACTGTTTCTCTTGGTAGTGAGTACATATTTACTCAGAGAACAAAACACAACATGAGAAAGCATGCAAATTAACAGTGACACAAAAAAATGAGGAAGAATATCTTCTGTTCTCCAAAAAGTTACTGATATCTTCCTGGATGGCTGGATGAACATCGCTTCGGTTCCCAAACCTCTCATCAGGAGCATCCCAGCTATTCCATGCATTTGTTAATTTTCACCACCAGCTCAATAAATTAATGAGCTTAATTAGTTCAGCAACTTATTGATTTATTCATTAGCCATACGAGTTGCGGTAGTGGTCCAATCAAAAAAAACATTGGTGTATTGGAGGGTTGCTACAGATACTGGGGTATCTTTAGGAGAGGCTTAGAAATGGATAAGCTGACACACTTTGGCAGACATAATATTATTGATTTACACCATCATTAAGATCATTTAAACCTAAGACTCGCACAGTGCTGCACTTATCCATCCATCCATCCATTACATAATTTCATATCCTTTATTAAGTAGAAGGTCATGGTGAAGTACTCATATATTTCTGCTTCATAACCATTTATCCTGGTAAGCATTGCAGGGTCCCTTTTACTATTATTTTTGTCGTCGTATTTGTTGTTACTGTCCTTCTAGTCAATTATCCAGCAAATTGTGTGTGCATGTGTTGCGGATTGTATTTTTACAGCTTTATTCATCGCGTGCTGTAACCATGACTCTTACCTTTCCTTGGAGAGCTGTCATCTTATGTCGCCACCTGCCATTGGCCAAGGAGGCAACGCGCACCCATTGGTCGAGCTGAGGCAGGTACCGCCACGTATCAATGCTGTTCAGCTGGCCTCCTGCGACAAGCAGTAACAGCAAACAAAAGCGTTTCACTTCCTTGTGTGAGACAAGTCAACAAATATTAATTTAGGCAAACTTTAGCCGAAGTTTCACTCCAGCTGAATTATTAATATGAATGTATGGTATCTTAATGTCAGCTATAGATTTTTCTAGGTCAAGTCCTATTAACTTTTAAAATGTCACGTCCCGTTGTTTGAGTTTTATTTGAATAACTAATTTGTTTAATTTGTTGCTATGCAAGGACTTATCAAGCAGTGCATGTTTTTAATGTTTTGTAGCATTTAATGAAAGTAGATCAGTATTATTCAAATGTGTGTGTGTTTTTGTTTGAGATGTAACTGTGAACAAAATCACACGCCAATGTTTAACATCCATTGTTGTCAGCGACTAGGTCCCACACAATCAGTGCTGCTGATGTTCAAGATACAAGAGAATGATAGAAGAGATGAAAAACTCATCTAATTTTTAATTTATTATATGTCATATTGGACAACCAATTACTGACTGAAACAAATAGAGGGCAGAAACTATTGTAAATATTACACTGGAAATTAAAACTGCCTTGCATCAAAACTAGTAATTCCACATTGCAAGCCTAAGCTTTCAATGGAATGGCAGCAAGATATTCTATCTGCTGCAGATGAGTTTCTTTGGAAAAGAATTTTGAGAAGAGCATTGTCCTTCATCATGCCAGCTGATCCTTCATGATACCAGTTTTACTCTCCAGATTATCCAGGGTCCTAAGCCCTCTCTTGTGCACTCTCCTCTTCAGCTCAGCCCACAGGTTTTCAATGGGGTTCAGGTCAGGGGACTGAGATAGCCATGGCAGAAGCTTGATTCTGCAGGTCAGCTAACCATTTTTGTGTTGATTTGGAAATGTGCTTAGGATCACTGTCTGGCTGGAAGATCCAATGATGGCCCAGTTTATGTTTCCTTGCAGAGGCAGCCAAATTTTGATTTAAATTTCCTGGTATCTCATGGAGTCCATAATGCCATGTACCCTAACGAGGTTTCCAGGGCCTTTGGAGGAAAAGCAGCCCCACAACATCACAGAACCTTGACCATATTTTGCATTTGGGATAAGGTTTGTTTCATTATAGCCATCCTTCTTTTTACGCCAAACCCACCTTATATTTCATTATTTGTTTCATCAGACCATTGAATTTGGTTCTAGTCAAAGTTGTAGTAGTGTTTCGCAAACTCTAGGTGCTTACATTTGTGGTTAACTGACAAATAAAAGCTTTTTCTGGTATACCTTCTAAATAATCTGTTAGCATGAAGGGGGGCATTTTTTTTAAAGAGACGTGGTAGCCCAAAGATTTTACTTGGTGTTGTAATTCACCAACAGTCATCCTTGGGGATTTTTTTGCCTCTTTTACAATCCACCTCACTGTACGTGGGGGATAAATAAACTTGGGTCCTCTTCCAGGCAGGTTTGTAACAGTTCCAGTTGTTGTCCACTTTTTTATTATTGCCCTAAAAGTAGAAATGGGCATTTTAAGGCAAGTAGCTATTTTTTAATACCCAATCCCTGACTTATGAAGGTCAACATTCTTCTCCCTCATTTGGTTTGTATGTTCTCTTATCTTTCCCATGTTGATCAATGACTAAGGGAATTTGGGCTCTGTGTCACCTCATGTTCGTATCCCTGTTAACCAGGAAGTCATGGATTACAGCTTGAAGGTTCCTCTTCACTCCATTCAACTCAAAGATGTACAGTTTACAGGGGAAACATGCTTCAGTTACATTGTACAGGAGCCCTCTTGTATATGTAAATTGTTTTTTTTATTGATTAATTTTGTTTTGCTTTTTTGTTTGGTATGTATTTGTAAATTTGGTAGTATCTCTTTAAGAACATATGTAAATTGTGCTCGCCTGCTGCTGTGGGAGAAAGGGAGGGCTAGTTAACCGTTTTTTCTTTGTAATGATGGAACATGGAGCCACACAGTTTCTGACGTGGCTGTACTCTTTCAGGATGGAAATGTTTAATTAGTCTGGCAAATGTGAGAATGACAGATGGATACTGGCTGAATGTCGAAATTAAACCATTTGTGATTGGAAGATTTGGCAGTAGAAACGTTTTATTTTGTTAATCGAGCGAAAGCACAGTAGTTTGCAGCGACAATAAATATGGACGTTGCGGAGTCTACACATTGTGTTCAGTATAATTTCCAGGGCTGCCAATAATCGTGGCACATGTGTTTTTGTTTGTTATTTCTTTATGAAGGATTTTTTTTTTCTTGGAATAAATTTATGTTAATGAAAGGTTAGATTTTTCTTAATTTTTCTGTGTGACATGAAGCTGCTTCACCAAAAGGTGGATTTTTTCTAACCCTTTTGCAAATCTTTACAAGGGGTGCCAATAATTGTGGAGGGTGCTGTATGTCTAATAATAATTTTACTACAGACGCTCCTCTACTTATGAATGAGATACGTTCCGAACGGCCGTTCGTAACTTGAAATGTTCGTAAGTCGTTATTCAACATCATTTTAAGGGTATACGCAAGTACAAAGAACTAGGGTGCTGGGAGTACGCAGGCTACGCTGCTGCACGGCGGGAGTAGCGGCCAGAAGTCATACTAGGCTGCGCAGAAGAAAAAGTTGATGTTGCGGACAAGAAACAGGAACCAAATGAACACGATTTGGACTTACAGTCCTCTCTGTATGTCTGAAAGTTCGTAATTTGAAAGTTCGTAAGTAGAGGAGCATATGAATTTTGTAAATCATTAAACATGTTTTCCAAATTATGGCTCTGTTTTCATCTTTACTCTATGAATGTCTTGTTGTACATCAATGGGTAAAATGTTAATAATTGTAAGAAACATGTAAAGTCTATATTTACTTAAAAGGATAATCTCATATCTGACAGTGTGTTTGATTCTTGTATTACTGGATTATACCTGAAACGTAGATGTCATTTTGAAGCTCGCAGGCTGCAAACTCGGACTTGGAGTATCCGGGAATGGAAGTTGCCGGAAGCCACTCTTTTGTGTGAATGTTGAACTTCTGTGTGCAGGACAGCCTAGAGAGGCCATTTCTGTCACAACCGCCAATCACGACGATCACTTCCATTCTCACGGTGGACCTGAGTGAAAACAAGAGCTAAACTAAGGAGAAGTTGACGGATGTGTGCATGAGCACAGTGCCAGATGAAATCGACCAATTCTGTGCTATTTTGGTCATACTGGACCCAAGTAGAAATTAATTATCCTTCACTTCAGAACAAAATTAGACTGCTTCTGATGCGACAATTACCATGAGGAAAGTAAGAAGACTGCGTAACATAATACTAATTTCCCAAGAATGGGAAGCAATTCAGTGTTTTTAAAGACAATATAAAATACTTAGAACCAATTATTTCCTATTTGGTACTTATTTTCTTATTTGATAAATTTTTGTCTATACCAAGAAAAAAATTCTTGCCATGTTTTCTAAATCTAAGATCTTGGGAACATACCTTCTTGGCACTGTCCTGGAAGAATTAACTTCTTTTCCAAAGATATGATATCTCATGGCTTCCAGAAGCAGAGGGAGACACTCTTTGCAATCTTGGAGGATCTTATCACTTTCCAGTGTTTTAACGAGGAAGACAGGGTCAACCAAGGGTAGGTGGACACACTCCAGCAGGTCCTTCAGTGCTTCTTTCCTTTCACTTGGGTCATGGTGAACCCATTTGAGTATGGCTTCTACCAAGACTTCCTCACGGTGAACCTTCAACTGCTCACAGGACAACAGCTCCATCAGGCGCCCCTTGGTCAGGCTGAGGAACTCTTCATGCTTATACACCTCCACGAAGTCCTGATAGAGAATCTTCTGGCACTGCTCTGCCAGTGGCTGGATGAAGAAGGAGCTGGCAAAGTCCATGATGCCCAGGCAGTTGGAGTGGTCGACTCGCTGCTCCAGGAACTGGATGCAGGCCTTACTAAGCACATTCACACCAAGCAGGTCAGCAGCCCTGAACACAATTTCAACATTCTCCTCGTCCACATCAACCTTGCCCTCATACATGAAGTCGAGCAGGTTTTGCATGGCAACTGGGGAGATGCCCTGCAGTTTGACCAGAGACTGGAGGCTCTCGCGGAGCTGGCCCTGGAACATAGAGCGGAAATAGATGCTACTGGCACAGAGCAGAGCGCGGTGGCAAGGGAACTCCTGGTCCTCCACCTGCAGCACCACATCTGTGAAGATGCCACTCTTCCGGTATGTGCTGAGCACCTGCAGTATTTCTTTTGCAAAGCAAGATTCTGAGGAAAAGTCATCCACAGTTTGTCGCTCCATTTGGGTCACAGTTTTCTTGAATCTCATCAGGGATAATGGATCTACAAAATAAAATGTGGTGCTCATGTGACAGAAGTTTACATGTGTTTTTATGGTATGATAGCGTAAACTGTACTGCTGATAACTGGCTTCATGGCAGCAATTGACAGCAATTCTCAACAATTATACAATTAAAACATATATAATTAAAAAACATTTAAGTCTTCTTCAGGGATCAAGACACTTATATTCGGATGAGGGCAGCATAATAGTGCATGTTAAAGTGATCACTCCCAACTTTCATATTTATACAGACGGCATTACTCTTATTACTATTACTCTTTCTCCAAATTTTTGAACAACCTCTTATCATTTTAATTAAATTTCATCTGTTCATTGTTTATCTTATTTTTTAATTATAAGGTTAATCATAATCACATACACACCGACTTATTTCACAATCACGCATGGTGAAGAATGATACATTATTACATTTCATTCGTAAGTACTAATGCTATTTTCCCTGGATGGATGCCGCCACTGTAACAGCTGATTTAACTGGGTAATATTTAATTACCTTTTCGACTTCTCTAGTTTTTTCCGTTTACATTGATAATAACTGTAGAAAAGATGCTAGAATGAAAGTGTGACATTCCCGTCATAAAAGAACAAAGAATACTGCTTATTGAACAGCATAAATAGTTTCTATTACACACACACACACACACACACTGCCACTCAAATAGTAGCCTTGATCAAAAGGATCAATCTACATAGCCCTAAAAACACTTTTGAATTAAAAAGATGAAAGCAATACGAATGCGAACGTGCGCGTGGGCATACGTTGAAATCTATGATCTAAGAGATAATCGCAGCAGATGGTCCTCAAGCGATAGCATCATGCCGCTGAAACGGAGCAGTTTAGATGCTGAGTTGCAACTGATACCGAAACAGGCGCCTATTGTTAAACTGCGGATTCGTGACCGTAAACTTCAAACTATTCCGTTCTTTCTTTCTCTCTCTCTCTCTTTTAATTCTACCTACCTATGTTTCTTTCTTTCTTACTTTCACTATAGTTGCATTTTTCCTGAATCACATGGTGCAGATATGTTTTTCGTTTGCTAAATCATTCTTAATGTCTTAATCTAATCGGTAGCCCAAATTTAGAAGGCTACATGGTGAAACAATTAGTCCATATGCAATTGTCATTTTAAATGAAGTGTTCTTATTATAACAAATATCAAACTTACCTTCGCGACTAGGTCAGGTAGATTCTGGATAACTGAGAAGTAGTATCGGTGCAGGACGAGCCCGGTGCCTTATGTTGATGTGAAGGAGACGCGCTGGCGTGTTATAAAGCCAGTATGAAAACAGCAGGATGGTCAGGGTGCGCACGTGACGCCTTTTTGTTTAGATTCCCACTCGTTATTGTCGCCGTGTGGGCGGGACAGCGGTGACCCCGCGCGCGTGGCTGATCAGGGCATGTGGGAAGACTAAGCCTCTGAGTAAAGCATAAATAAAATATGCAGGGACCCTGCTTTCCGTTGTATTTCATGCAAAATGCATCGGCTCCAGTTCACTTATCCAAACAATGACTATGTATTAATGCAACCGCTATTTATATAACTAAGGATAGTTACCTTATATCGCTACTTGTTTTTATTTGTGCATCTACTTTGTCTATTTCAGATAGATCCAATGTGGTATTTGTATGAAATAATTCTATGAAACCAGTCAGTTTTATTTGACCATATAGTTACATTGTCGTCCCGAATGAGTCAGGTAATGTACCTTCCCCTCATAAAATTGCCTACGCTAACTGTCAATGGTACGGTGTTACCATATGATCATTTCGCTTCACTTCCTCGTTATTCAGAAATAAAGTGCAACATACTCAATTGTTGTATTCGTGCGTTAACAACCCGGATACATTTTGTGAAATATGTCTTTAGGTGATTTAGTCATGCCATCATCATAATTACTATTTACACAAACCTATAGATGGTATGTATGAATGGTGTAGGCTACTATACACACCAGGGCTACCGTAAACTTTCAAGTAGAAACAGTATAAACTGTTTCTAAAACAACGATAAAAAGTAAATACATAAACCAGTAAAATAGTTGATTATCATGTATTATGTCCAGTACATAATTGTATATTTTATACGACCCTACAGTAGTAGGTTTGTATAGACCAGTATCACCACAAACACGTAAGGACTGCGTTGCGCTACGACGTCACTATGTGACAGGAAATTTTCAGCTCCATTATAGTCTTGCGGGACCACATTGTACTTGCCAGGACCACGTTGTGCAGCTTAAACTGCCCAACTGTGGTGTCTGTATGTCATATTATATTTGAATCTCCGTGAATATTATATATTTCTCTGTGTCTCTCATATAGAAGACGTCAGTACACTACAGAAATTGTGCCTCTAAACAGATTTCTGTGCATACTGATTTTTGCTGCATATTTGGTAAGTTAAATAGAAACTATCTTCTACAGTAAGTTCTACATTAGAGAATATGATGCCATATTGCAAGTTCTACAATTACAATAATGTCACTTATTAGCCTCCATGCCATCAGACCTATGACAGAACATCTCACCCCAGAGTGTCCACCCCACATGCTAGGTCTTCTGCTCTCCCCCCCCCCCCCCCCCCCCCCCAGACCAACAGCCCCAACACAGCTGGAAACAGGGATCCAGTGGGGTTTGGGCCACTGTCTGGATGGACAGCCCCAGGATGAGGTGAAATAGATGGCTGACTCATCTGCAGAGGACTGAAGAACCCAAGCCAGGAACCTAAAGGCAACAGGGACAAAAACACAAAACCCAAAACAGAATCCCAGAAACAGGATGCAAACAGCACAGTACATCAGCCATGGGAAGGTGGCCACTTGGGATCATTTAGTCCCAACACAAAAACTGGCTAACCAGAAGCCCAAGGCCAAATGCCAGTGAAGGACCATAAAGCCCAAGCTAATCCAGCCCACCAAACCAATACCTGCTGGCTACTGACAGGCATGGAGAAAACTGACCTACACAGATTAGCCCCAAAATAAAACACCTCTGTGAAGGTTGCTACTGAGCCCAAGAGCAATGCTGATGACCAAGCAGTGTACACTGGTCACTGATCTGCTCTAATTGAACCCAAACCAGAGCAGGGTCAGTTGCCTGATTAATTACTGACAGGCAGGTGTGACAAACATATTTCCCCACTGTGATGCAATGGGGAGCTATTAATGCAGCTATTTAGTTTGCAGAAATTGCAACTTGCAACAGAAATATGATTCTTATTTGTTCCATTCAGAAAAATGACCCCAGCTATGTTCTATGGAAAGAGCAAGAAGATGAGCTCTTCAACAGGTTTTAGTGACAGTGACAATGACATGGATTTGAATGGAATATTGAAGGATAAATTGTAAGGACTCACTCTGTGGAAGTTCCAAGTGTACAAATACATCAATTTATTAAAGGAATTCACATAAGAAATTAATAAACCACCCGCAACCCTGAACATGACAAGCGGTTTCAGAAAATGAATGGATGTACTGTACTGCTAAAGTTATTGAATGTATTTAAAACGAATGGGGAAAATACTCAATGGTTAGAACATAATACATTCCATGCACGGTTAAAATGCTGCTTAAGAAGCACTAACTAAAACTGCATATTTAGTGCCACCTACTGTTTTTTCGAATGATTGCACCTGAGAGTTTCACAGCTCACGAATTTTAAGATTATGATTTTAGCAGACTTTTTGGAATCTCTAGTTTAAAGCAAAACTATATAATAAAATGTACAATTTTAAAACTCACGTCAAACTGTACTGTCATTTTCAAATATACAGACACACAGTGAAACAAAACAGTGTTTGTCTGAGACTTTAAAAACAGCTTTTACACGAAAGACAACATAGACATACAAAAATAAATATGGCATGCAGAGGCCCTCCTACTATTTTCTTTGAGGGTGTAGGCTTATTTTTTGGGAGGGGGGAGGGGGGTTACACGGGAATACATTTTGAGAAATGTGTTTTTAGGCGATGTTGTCGTTTGAAGATTATAATTTTTACTAGATAGTATTAGGGGTTGTAAATCACAGCTTTCCTCGCGATACGATACATCCTTAAGCCAACGGTTCGATTTTTTTTAATACCTCAGAAATTCCCATGATACGATACGATACGATTAATTTCGATACTGGGGATAGTAGTCGAAATAATGAAATTTCACACAATCCTTTACATTTCAATGAATTAAAAAAGGATACTCGTTGGGGGATTATGCAATTGTGGTTCACTGAAACAGAAATAAAAACATAGGAATCAACATATAACTACCGCTCACAGGTAACATAGTTTTATAAGCATTAAACAAATATAGATATTAAATTATATTAACCATTAGTATTACAAAACACAAATGAACATACAATACTCTTAAACTGAGCGGCATTAACACAGCAAAACGCGAACTGCGATCAGCGCGATATGTTTATTTTAAATTACAAACGCATAAAACAATAAACATTTGCTCCGGTTACACAGCATAGTTGCGGTACGAATGAACTGCATACTTAGTCAGCATGGAGAGTAAAGAAAATCTCTTTTATTCCAGCAAGAAGAAGTCCTCGGAGTTATGGTTTATCTACTGGTTGCTCTGTGTGCCGGGGGTGACTTGGTACCAAGGGCCAGAGTGTGATGGGAGCGCTTTGCTGAACTTTCTGGAATAAAAGAGATTTTCTTTACTCGCCAAACTAAGAGGTCCAGACTTTTATTCTAAGTGCTTGATTTATCATTTTTCTACCACAGTTTGGCACCCCAGATGGGACCAGATGCAGATGAGATTAAGGATTGGCCCAGTCCCTCGTCGAGGAAAAATGGAGACCACGTTGTACCTGACCCAAACATTCCTGAGACTGATTTGGCCAGACCTGTTTTGGTGAGATAAAGGCTTCTCTGTTTATTCATTCTTGCTGCTGCTTTGCTTGTTGCTGAAGGTTATGTGTTTGGTAGTGTTTGAGTGTGTTATGTGAAAGTCCACCGTGACTGAGGGGATCCAAGCACGGGGAAGCGCTGATCATGGTTAGGAAGGCCGGTGGGAGAGCGCTCATCCACCTGTAGTAGGGAAAGGGTGCTGTCCAAGTGGAGACCTGAGTGACCTATTACATGGAAGAGGTGGATGCACAAGACCTTGGGAAAGTCCGTGATTTTGGTGGCGC